ATGGCGGATTTAGTGAGTTTTGTAACACCAACGACCTTACCACTAGTCTATGATAAAATATTCGAAACTCAATGAAATTTGCAAAAAGGAAAGTATTGAAAGACACAACATACTTAGTTTCAATCTGCTAACTCCCGTTATTTGTTGTTAAAATAGCTCATAATTTCATACTTGTAAAAGCAAAAAAACAAATATTAATGATGTACAATTAAGAATTACCCATTTTATTGTTTCGTATACAATCAACTTCTTGGTGAAGTAGTCAAAACATTTGGTACATATTGAAAGATTTCATAGCGTTCACTCGGATGTCTATTTCCGAAGACGACGGTCGATCCCACCGACCAACTTTTCGGGTATTTTCCCCGGAAACTTCGAGAATGTTAGACGTCGCGACCGCATCAAAATGAATAAATCTCAGATCGATCGGTTTACAATACAATTTTCATTCTGACTCAAGGAGTACGCTTCATTCATGACTCAGCTTATACGTCACATTGTTTTCACGGTCGAAATCTTCGTCACAGAATGATGTTTATTTGTGTAACAGTTGTTGTAACAGCTACTTTTGTCACGTCATACGCCTTGGATTTACAACCATATTGAACTCGAAAACAATTATCGTTGTCAAAATTCATTAATAATATAACAATAATGTTTAGGACACATTTTTACACAACATTCCATAATCCCAAAGTAAGCAACGCTTTTATAATACAAGCGTACTATACAAGGGTACTAGATAACTGATAAACGAACTTAAAGATACTTTTCTATTGAAAAAAAAAAATACAGGTTATACGCACCCAGACACTCGAAAAATGCTATGTTCCTCACACAATACCTTTCCAATAGCGAGGACCGAACCCTATGCACGAAGATGCACGTCCCACTAGGCCTATTGGCCTAGTGGGACGTGCATCTTGCGCCGGTGTCATTGAATAATAGACACTTATTCAATGACACCGGCGCAAGATGCACGTGCTTGTAACTAACTAAATCTGTTTTGTACGCTTAACTTTGAGGTAGTCCGTAGACGTAAATACCTTATATTACTTTGTACAACAGCATCGTGTAACTTAGCGGGCATAATCCAAATGAGATGCTAAAAAGGACTTAGCCAAATCGACCTCCACTCTCCTTGTTATCTCGCATCCCAAAGTTCGGAACGCAGAAGCTATCGAAAAGGGAACTTATTAACTCGATGTGATCGCCCGTGGAAAACGCTGCCCGGTAAAACGTTACAGGAAGGGGAACTTTCCAACTGCAAAAAGAAACCGGGCGAAGTTTAAAAAGAGAGCGCTAAATGCGATTCGTATTAAGCGGCGCGCTTTGGTGGCGGCGTATAGCGGAAGCGGAAGCGGAGGGTCGAAAACTATTTAGAGTTTCAATATCAATTACTAGGTGCTGCCCGCGACTACGTCTGCGTAAAATAGGCTGAAGGCGTAACATTCAGACAGAAAGACAGATATAAATAAAATATGTATATAAATTATAGCCTATGTGTTATTCTGATGTATAAGCATTATTGAAAAGTTTCGTTAAAATCCATACAGCAGTATTTGTGTGAAAGAGGAACAAACATCAATCCATACATACAAACTTTCGCGTTTATAATATTAAGTAAGGATTCGAAAGAAACTGACCTAAAATAGCTACTGTGTGATAGATATCTCATCCAAAAAAATAATTTAATTTACGATCATAATATGTTAAATTTCGATTACAGATGAAAACTGCTTTACTTTAATTGTAGAAATTTCCCATAACTCAATACCATGGCATGCTAAAAATCACAAGCAGTTTAGTTACACAAACCTATTGATATTTTTAACGATACACCGTCATCACGATAACACATACAGATCTTGTCAATGGATCGCCGTTTTGATGAGATAGAACTGGTTTCGCGGGAATGTAACCAACGCCTATGGACGTGAACGGATTACGGAGCGAAAACTTTTCACAATAGCGACATACTGACTGGGCCGGGATTCGAGATGTTGCGTACCATAACAAATCGCGACTCCGGGAAATATTGCAGCTTCCTTTACAGTCGCTTAGCGACGCGACGGACCAGCGGATGTAGTTTAATACCCGGTGTAATATCGGGGAAACTTTCCTTTGCGCGCCTCGTTACGTGACGTGTTCGAATCGCTGTACCGACTTTAATGGAGCGGGTTTAGTGATATTCTCAACCTATTCATTTACATCAAGACTCGAAAGAAAATTTTAGAGTAGACAAATAATTATAAATATTGCGGGAAGTCTGTGGATGCAGGGGTTTATGTGGACACAAAAAGGGTGAAATGATGATGAATGACGATGATGAGATATTTTTTCAGGACAACCGAAAATCTAAGACTTTTCTGTTTAGTCAGATCTGCGTAAAATATCGATTCGATAACTTTATCGATAGCTTCGATTTCCTTTTCTTTCAAATATTTATCTAAAACAGGCAGACTTCCTGGCGATGCCTTACTTCCGCACAGGGCACTTTGTAATTAGGCATGAAAAATTTAATTTAAAAATTTAATAGTATTTATACTCCAGTCGCACGAATAATTTGAATTAAGTGAGCATTCTATGTGAAAAATTTCAAAGTTTTTGTGTGGGAATGAATTTGTGAACTAAAGGTAAAAATTATCAAACAAAAGAAAACTTCATTGCTGTCAGAAAAATACACTGTTATAATATGTGTGTTGAATTCAATATTAATTTTTCATAATATGAGGCGCGAACAACGTTAATAGACCTTTCGATACTCAAAACGTGATGTATCAACTTTTACCTACGCAAAATCGGAGGATACGCAATTGCATAAGGACTGATAATTGACTTTGAATTTTTTGGTTTACTATCAAGATTTTTAGTTCTAATAGAATATAGTTTTAGGTTTTTAAAAAACAATATAGCCATCTTGACAGCTGGCCAAAGTTAAAGACAATTAAATTGGCCAGACTTTCCTTGAAAATTCTCAGTCAATCAAAACGAGTCCTGAACATTTAGATTTGAACTTGATTTCAGATAAGAAAGCCTTAAAACTTTTTCTAATGTATCTTACGACGCAAACTAAAGCAGTCGCTGGTCGTTGAGTCATTGGTTTTGGCAAACCGTAGGTTCGATTCCTAATAGTGCTCTTTTATTAAAAACAATTTGTTGAACCATCTAAAAAAAAGAGTAACGTGGTAGAATCTACCAATACCCAAGTACCGGCAAAGTTCGGATACAATACACGCGAAACAATTATCAAGCCGGATTCTCAAAATCCAAAAAAATCAATAAATCAAGCTAATTATAACGGCTTTCGTAACGTAATAAAAAGGAGGTAAAGCCTAGAAATTCCGTTCCTACATCCGGTTACACTGACGATCGACTCGATACCAGAATTTTTGCAATTAACGCACCGCCAATTAAACGTGTGATAAAAAAGTTGAAAAGACACGTTTGAATGAAATAAAAAAACGGCTATAATTGAAAGCGATGGCGCATCTTTTTTATCACTTGACGTTAGTATTATTTGCATAAATTAAGCGTAAGTTAGATCGGCTTTGCAGGCTTCTCTTACGAGGCTAGCTTAAGAAGTCCAGTGTGTAAATCAACTTGTCAGGGTAATCCCACATTTTAAATTATTCCACGGTAAATGCTGTTACAGATAAGTTTTGCCACAAAACAGCTTCTACTGCAGTAAGTGGTTAGAAAGAGGAAGAAAGGTTCGAATGGACTTTGTGAAGATTGATATGTTTATGAAAGAGGTAAGTGTTGAGATGACGGCTGATAGAAGAAAGTGGAAGAGAAGGACATGTTGTACAGACATATTGCGGACAGGAGAGAGAAAGAAAGATTGTAAATTATAATGCTTTATTCTTAACAGTTCTTAAATTGCTCGGGAATATTTCTGCATCATTTATCAGATGTAGATTTACGAATACGATACGATACGGTACGATACGATACGATATAATTATGTCTACGAATCTTTGGCACTGTTGACCTGCTAAGGACAGTATTAAATGCAACCAGGCCATTTGGTTGTAAGCCGGTGGTATGTGGTAGGGTCACGCAGCAGCCTCGGCTGTTGCTCGAATGGGCAGGCTCGTCCGGGTGAGTACCAAGACCTCACAGAAGACCGGCGTAGAGTGGAAGTGTACTATTTTCGCGTTTCGTCTGTTGAGTGAGGAGGCCGGAGCCCAATTTTCAAAATATTGTCAATGCATCTGGCACCCTCGGGTATAGCAGATGTCCATCGGCGGCAGTATTCACTTATAATCAGGTGAACCGTCTGCTCGCGTGGCAACTTTTGAAATTAAAAAAAAAATTCTTACGGAACATCAGGTGTTCTAAGTAGGGGAGAGGTGGTATACTTGATCCCTGTTTTGGTTTTCTTTTAGTAATTCGAACCATTTTCATAAATCTGACTTTCTTTTAAATCACACATGTATTTCCGTTCAATACTACTGATTTAGCACCAATACAGACCTTCTTATTTATTAAATAAAACGACAAAAAGGGTTTTTTAAAGTCCGACACAAGGATCAAGTAACCCTCCCTATGGGGATACTTGATCCCGGTGAGTGGGTTGTATGATCCCGGAGGATCAATCATCCCACCCGTCAAAGTTTCAGCCATAGGCCTACCTAAATATGGAAATTATATAAACTTGGGTCTACTATTAATAAGTTGTAATTAACGATTCGAAGGTGAGTAGGTACAAAATGAAAACAACATAAAAAAATTGAAAACACAGACAAAAAATAAATAGGAAAATTATTCGAGAAGTGGCACGGAATAAATGTCACGTGTTTTTGAAAATTTCGTCGGCTCCGGCAAGTGTCCCAAAATGTCACCCCACACATAAAATATTTCGTCTTCCCTTGCTGGCCACTTCCAAAGCCTCCCACTTTTTTCCATTGCTTTTATTGTAGCCCCGTTTTCATGTATTTTTGTAATTTTTCCTGGGTATGACAAACCATTGTAAATTGCAACTACAAATTCCCCTACTTCTTTTCTGATGGGCTCAAAAGCTCTATGACATAATTCTTCTTCCCCCCCTGACGATGATGGAAGTGGAGGACATTCATCAGAATCAGATGAGGTGTCATCGTCAATTTTTTTTAGTGAAAAGATTTGTCTCACTGTTTTCTTGGTAGGCCTATTTTCTTTAATCTTCCTTTTCATTTCTATCTCCGCTATCTTCGCCAACTTTTTATTTGATTGTTCTTCGATGGCTGCTTTTTCCGGAGTATCGGTTAGGATGCGAGTACGTCCTCGCTTTCTCCCGCGCGACGACTGCGAGCGTGGACCTGCCTTGGGGTAGGGCATGATATCCTGTGGTGAAAAGTGCATCGGCACTGATCCTCCAAGTAAGGATGGAGAAGCGCGTTCACTCACACTGCTGCTTTGTACGGGCTCCTCAAGTGGAGAAGGGAGAGGGCAGTCCGACGCTATCACACTGCTCTGTATGGGATCCTCAAGCGGGGAAGGGGGAGCACAGTCCAACGCTGCCACACTTCTCTGTGCTGGTTCTTCAAGTTGAGAAGGGGGAGGGCGGTCCGTAACTAAACTGGTCATGAACTCACTCTCCGTGAAAATGTCGGCATTTATGGGCCATATTCCAGCCGCCCTGAAGCCACAAATTATATTGGTAGGCACCATAGCCCTTGGGAAAGCTTCCCCTAACAGTTCCGAAACGTCGTAGATTGTGATTGTTCTCCCGGGGTGTCTCAGCATAAAATTTGATGCTGGTTTTTAAGGGGCCAAAAACAGTCCTATCTAATGGCTGCAGCTTGTGGGATGTGTGTGGTGGAATTGTGAGAAGAACGATTCCGTTGTCTTTTGCGTAGTTGAGGGCGTCGACAGAACAATGAGTCTCGTGATTGTCCATGATGATGAGGTGTTTCCTATCAGTGTTGGGTTGAACATGACGAACAAAATGCTTGAGGAATTTTATAAAACTGTCGCCCGTCATCCATCCGCTAGGATGAGTAGTTGCATCGCTGCTAGGAGGGGCATGATTGAGGAACCTATCCTGCCAGTTTTTTCGGGGGAATATCATGTGTGGCGGGATGTGGCCCCCGGCAGCGTTAATACAGGCACAAACAGTAACCAGCTCACCTCGTTCGGCCGATGTCATTTTTCCTACTTGTTTGGAACCCTTAACTGCAATAATTTTGCTGGGTTTATGGACAGTTGTTACCCCTGTTTCGTCAATATTCCACACCCTTTCGGCAGTAAATTCGTGCTTATTAAAAACTGCAGTCAAATTTCCAAAAAATTCCGCCACGGTGTGTTTATTAAACGCTGTCGCTCGCGCCAAGCTGGTAGGCTCTGGAGTTCTTAAGGATAGAGTTTGCTGTCTCTCCAAAAATCCACGATACCAATCGCGACCCGCCTGTTGCGAGTGATCCCATGAAGAGGGATATTTCATCTTATTTGCTTTGGCGAATTGGTAAGCTACCTTACGCAATTGTACAACGGTAAGTCCATAATACATTTTAGACATATGAACAAGATACGCTCCTAGCTCATCCTCGTGACGTTTGGACAAAATTTGTCTATTGGTTGAACATAAGAGTCTCGACGGCATAGCCTTTTAAGTGTCATGACATTAATTTTAAATTCTCTGGCGACGGTTTTGTAAGCAGCTCCATTTTTAACTGCTTGGACCGCATTTTTCAAGGCTTCCGGGTCTGGGATATTTGATTCCGGGATACTTGATTCCGGGATCAAGCATCCCCCTAGCAAAAGGGATCAACTATCCCGAAGCAGTAACTTTATTTAAAATGGAAAAAAAACAGCAACAAGATGAAAACATTTGACTCGGAAATAATTGAATTTACACAGCTAAATACACACAATATTTCATAAATACAAACAAAAAATTGTAAAGTACACGTACCTGAAGTTTTTCGAATTGTCGTACACTAAACAAAATAAGTAAGATCCGGTAAAAACATAAATTTCCAATTATTTTGGCAACGAGCTGTTGTTTCGGTTTAATGTTTTTTTTTCGTATTGGTCATCATGGCGGCGTCCCAATGCAGCCAACAGAACACCTTTAAACACTTTTTGGCGCTAGTTTTAAATGGGGGATCATGTATCCTCGGGGATCAAGTATACCACCTCTCCCCTACATTCTCATTACGACATCGTGGTATGCAAACGGACGTGGCGGACAGTCTAGGGCTGCATGTTGCATGAGCCCGCATTAGTGAGTCCGTAACTACGTCTCCATGCTAATTGCGAAAATTATCCGCATTCGACGGCCGACTTACAAAAGAGCTTTCCGTCTAGCGCGCGTTGAATTATTGATAAGCGCATACGCCACGGAGAATCACTTAATGTCATGTCGCTACGCTGTCATTACGCAGTGTTCTATGAATAAGGTAAGCAGTGTTAATTTTTTTTTCTATTGTTATTTCAACAGAAACATAGGAACACAAACCAAAAACGTTTCTAGCATAACGTAACGTAAGGATACGCATAGGACATAACAGTATAATTAGCATGGAGGTTTGGCGTGTATGGCGATGTGACGGTTTTTTTCACATTTCATTTTAAATAATGTAGGTAATTATTTTTTTATTTATTTTATGAGAAAAGTTGTCAAACGAGCAGACGGTTCACCTGATGTTAAATGAATACCGCCGCCCATGGACATCTGCCACACCCGAGGGTTACAGATGCGTTGACAACCATTGAATATTTGGCTCCGGCTACCTCACTCACCAGACGAAACGCGAAAGTATTTATCATACTGCCACTTTACGCTGGTCTTCTGTGAGGTCGTGGTACTTACCCGGACGGGCCTGCCCATTCGCGCAACAGCCGAGGCTGCTACGTGGCCCTACCACCGTTATGAAGGTAGATAATAAAGAGGGTAAAGTAATAGCCTATAAATGTCGCACAGCTGGGCAAAGGCCTCCTCTGTAAAGAGGGAATCAGGGCATAGTCGGCCCCACTGCGGTCCCTCGATTGGCGGACTTCATTGATTTTTTTATTATTGTTTCTAAAATAAGCAGGTTTCCTCATGATGCTTTCCTTCATCGGCAATTTAATTGGCACCAGGAAATAAACTGAGGTTGCTCGAGTGAATTGAATTAAAGCAAGCGCCCAGACACTGAGCCATTACGACTATGTAGGTATTATAAGTAATTATATTATGTACGAGTGTGTACAATTAAAAAAAATACTGTCACATGCATTTTCAAAATAATCTAAAAGTTTACGAAGCTTTATTGTTAACCAGTACTTCCAAGTTACTTAAGGAAGATAGGAATAACGGAATGACGATAAAAGGCAAAATGAAAAGAAAACCCTTATTAGAAAAGACTAAAGTTATTCCCTTATAAAACGAGTCGCTCACTGCAAAACTAGTTTCAACAAACTTCCACTCCTACCTTACGTGGCTTAAAAATTTAAGTGATTTACATAACAAAGCGATCCATACAAAATTCACCGTTAAATTACAACGCTTAATGCCTCTAATGGCATGGAAAATTCATGTTGAAAAGTGAATCAAATACTCATTACGGTCACGTAGCCTCCTTTGACGAATGAATCTTTGGAAATTCCTCCCACATAATAGTGCTCGAATATTTACCGTGACGCTCGCTCAGGTCAAAACCGAATTGCTGGTGCAATTAGATTATTATTTTCCATTAAAACTGAGAATTCTCCTCCACAATAATCGTACACTCCAAAATTAGACTTCCTTGTGCAGACCCCCGATTGTAGCCAACAAAGCGGGCCCCGATTAACTCAGGGACCATTAGAAACGCGAAAGTATAATACTGCCACTCAAAAACGGTCTTCTGAGGCCGGTACTTCCCCGGACGAGCCTGCCCATTCGTGCAACAGCCGAACCTTTTGACTTTACCGCTGTTAAGCAGATGTTTTGCAACTAAGACTCTAGAGCGCCTGCTAAATAATCAGATACATTTTCGGCCTTCAAAATATTAATATTCATCTCCACACCGTTCTCGACTTCAATGGTTCACAATTAAAGAAAGGCGTCTGTCTAGGCGTCATGTACGTACAACCGATTTTTAAAATAACCAGCTAATTCGTATTATCTAAAAGATAAATTTGAATACCCTTCGTTAAATGAAAAACGGGATCTACTATTGGTCATCATAATTACTAGTTTCTCGCAAAACACTTTCACTGTTCTGGTTTTGCGGCGGAACTCCTTGCCTAAAGATATACGTAGGGCTCCTAACAGGGCCTCGTATAAACACGTGATCCAGGTCTATTTATTTATAGGTCCAATTATTTCTACGGATTTAGTTTGTAAAAATTTAAGTATACACACGTAATTTTTATTATGTTGTATTATTACGTCTGCCATCTTCATCATTATATATTTACATCAAATAAAATTTAATATTGTTTTACAAATACTCAAATAAATTATTACAAGTAATACATTAAGTAAAAACGGTGGCGTGTAATTGATATATTAAATTTCGTTTCTTTTTAGCTATATTCGAAACCTTTGCTATTCGCAGTACTGAATACGTTTCTTGCTTTGACTGCCTGTGATTGAACGCAGCCCGAGTGCGAACTCTTCTGTTTATTCAACCAATACTTGTTATTTATAGCTTTCTACGCTTCTAACGTTAATTATACAATCAGAAATAGTATGTACACAATCTAAACAGTTACCACTCATAGTGATTCCTCGAAAGAAATGACGTAATTCCTTAAAATCTATTCAACCGCTTGAAAATATCGCAAGTGTAAGGGATTTGTGTAATTGAAAAAGTTTTTGTTTAAGTAAATAATTAACATGACGAATAGAAATGTATAATTAGGAATTCAAATAACATGTGATCAAAAATTCGGTAAATAAACAAAATCATTACAATATTTTTGGTCAAATTATTCCATTTCACTTACTTAAATTATTGATTCAATTAAAATATAAAAACGGTTTAGAATGATAAATTTGATCAATCTATGTTCTATGTCCAATGGAATTACTTCACAAAATAAAAATCTTGTTATTAAAAATATATTAATAGTGGATTGAAAACATTATTTAGTTAATTACACTTAAAAATAAAAAGATTACTCTGTTAATAAAATAATATAAATAGTTTAAAACTTAACTACACGAAGTCTGCAATATCCAGATCTAATTTGAAAGTTGGTAACCCCAGCCGGATGAGATTTAGAACGAACGGCCTTGACTGGCGAACAGTATCATGCGTCGAAAGCATAGCGACGACTGTATTGCGTATTACCACGGAACACAAGTTTTAAACCTTTTTTTATGTGCGTACAATTTAAATCACTTAATTAATTAGTTATAAAAACAGCTATGAATAGAATATTGTTGAAACAACATTGCTGGTTTATGTTAATCTTCTAAATCATTCAATTCGATATTCGAAATTTCTCGAACAACCAATAAACATCATCATGCGAACCACATCGTTCGATTTTTAAATCTCGCGAGAGCATCACCCCGTTCGATCGGGCTGTTTTTCATAGATCGCGTGGTCAACAACCTCAACATTAGCCGGCTCCAAGGTTGCTTAGGTGACATTGTACCACGCAATTGCGCAGGCGTTTATTATACGATGCGCACGCACACGGACGCAACCGCACACATACACAAACACGCGTTCATACACTATAAGTGCATCGTCGATGTGTATGTGAATACGTAGATGGCGCACCACGCTTTTTGAGAATGCCCCAGTGCATGCTTTTAATGCATGCTA